TTCGCCAAACGGGACTAGTTTAAGGATAATTAGCTGAATTCAAATATTTTCAGCCCTTTTTGAGCTGAAATGACATGCCAAACATAGCCTTAATCAAAGTAGTTGCTTGACTTGCTTCCTTTTTTTCTTCTAAACGTTACGCGACCGGCTCTTCTTTTGTTTTTCTTTTCATTTCCGTTGTATTTATATACTTCGAGCCCGTTTGGTAGCACGAAAATCGGCTGATTTGGCTTATTCTGCTGAAATTTATGATGTTCTGATTGAAGTGGCTTCATTGGCTGATTCTGCTGATTTAGGAAAAACATATTTTTAAAATATGTTTTATTAATAAAATAAAGAACAAATTATATGTAAAAATAGCTAAAATGGTCATCTACAGTAACTTCAGCCAATACAACCAGAAAAGTAACTCCAACCTTACCTTTTCTGCTTGTTACACAATTCAGCGCGCGAAAACAAAAGTTACGTGTTTGGTGAAAAAATTGGCTGATAAGCCTCATAAGCCGAAAATCAGGGGTTCCAAACGGCCTCTTCGTATATCTTTTTTCTCCACTTCTCAAGCAATTTAAGCTCTTGCTTCTGTTTTCTTTTTTATTATATAAATTTTCTACTAGTTTGTTTCTCTATTTCCATAACAACTGCTCAAAAAACTATATTACATGACAATTTAATAAACATTTATCTTTTTCCCACTTCATTTAAAAGCTCCAATCGTCTAAATAATTATGAATATATTGTTTATAATAAATGTGCATTGATGGTTCTATAAATATACTCAATTATAGGAAACTAATTATATTAATTGGATTTGTGATGAATATATTATGTGTGTGAATAGTACAAATGAACTTTATGTTATACTTGAGAATAACGTACACCCAAATATATATGAATATAACGATAACAAGAAAGTAATTAAAACTGACTAGGAAATAACACTAGTAGTTTGATTAGGAAACTCACAATAAAAAATATTCTTCCGTCCCGAATTGAATTGCAATTTGCCGAATTTAAGATTGACTGAATATATAGTTAAATCATACATGCAGATAATTAAATCAGTTTTAATAATTAAAATTTACATATTCTGAAACTACATTAATAGTTTCATAAAGTCACAAAATTCATAATTAAAATATACTAAAAAATGATATTTTAAATAATTAGATTAAGTGAAACTATGTTGACCAAATAGTAAAAATAGTAATCTTGCTCCCCAAGTTTAGTTACTTTGAATCTCCTGTGTTGCTTGGGCCTCACTTGCATTTGTTGTGCTCTTTTTTGCCCAACTTGAATAAGCACGGCCCTAGAATGCATTCTATCACCACCCACCCTGCCGATTACAAGCTTGACCTCAATCTCAAATGACCATATGGTAAGTTGTCTGAAATGCATCAATAGTTCCAACGATGATTCCTCTCCTAACTTTCCCTTCCAGGGTGCCAATAGCTCCAACTGGACGCGATTCAAACGGTTGTCGAGCTAAGGGAAGGCAACCTAGGGTGTATACACCTCAAATTTTAAAAATGCCTTAATTTTTAGTGTAAAAAGAGTAAAAATACTCTTTGCATCGGCCTTGTCTAGCCCAGTGTCCTTCTTGGCTCCGCCCCTGCATCATGTTGTGGGACTGGAGGGTTGTTCTTGTGGAGGTAGGTGTCCCATAGAAGCTGGCAACAGCCCCTTGTGTGGCTTGAATAAAGACACATGTAAGACATTGTCCATATGACTATGGATATGACTAGGCGCAGGTGGCAACTGGATGGTGTGTTAACAAAGACTTTATCATGGTCAGACACAATATAATATGACATACCATGGAGTAGGAACACTTTTGTAAGAAAATTGCGGCCATAGAGACATTGGTGTAAGGATTGCCCAATGGAATTAAATGTGTAGCCTTAGATAGTCAACCAACCCACACCAATATAACTGGCTTACCACAAGTCTTAGGAAGTCCTTCCGTGAAATTTATGAAAGTATTAACGGACTAAACTTGCAAGTATACAAATGTCTATTTTAGTAATAAATATCGGTAAATACCGAATCAACCCGTGGGGAAGTGTTTGTATTTCACAATTTATAAAGTTTGGGTTATTTAGTTCAATGTAAAGCAATGATATAGTTGTGGGAACTTCTCTTTGATATTGAATTTTAAAGTACGAATAAAGAATACTAAGAAATCAGAAAATTCTTCTAAATATTTACTAGAGTTAAATACTACTCCATGTAGTTTTTTGCCAATCTACCTCTATATAAAAAGAGGTGGAAAAACAAGCCGTTTTCCCACCTAAATTTTTGTTCTAAAGTGGGTCGGGTTATATGATTGGATCGGGTTGCTTAATTAACTGGGTCCAAGAAATTAGATGGACTGCACGAGGTGTCATATTATTACATTAAAATGGCTAAAAATCTTTGAGGGCGGAGGCCTTTGTTACTGGATGTCTTTAATTGCAAGATCACATTAAATGGAGTTGGCATCTTCACAATACCAGCAGAAGATGTAATTCAAGGAACTCAGTACTTTGTCAAAAAATTCATAAGCTTGAGCAGAAACGCGCACACAGTATTTCCATTAGTATTCCTGTTAGTAGTGTAATGAATGAGATTGCACAAAATTAAACACAATGTTCAAGCAAATTAAACATATATTCTAAAATGGCCTTGATTGTACTCCAAGAGTCCAAGGAATGCACAATAATTTAGCCTCAGATCAAATTTGCCCAGTACATAAGATAATAATGCCCACAAATTTCACGTAGTTGCTTTTTAATCAGATGGAAGATACATTCACCTATTGTGGGAAGGATCAATTCATAAACGGATCAATTCATAAACCCGCTTGTGGGAAGGTTTGGAAGTCCTTGTGATGATAATTGTCCCTGAGACATCATCTGTGACCGCCCCCCTTGCATATACCCTTGCGGAGGTTGCTGCTGCATATGCTGTTGCTGCATTTGCTGCTGCTGCATTTGTTGCTGCTGTTGTGATTGTTGCAATTGTGTCATCTGCTGTTGCTGCAGTTGCTGCATGAGTTGCGGTTGTTGTTGTTGCATATGTGAGAGTGTCTGCTGCTGCTGCTGCAACTGTTGAAGCTGAGGATGTTGTTGCTGCTGCTGCATCTGCTGCTGCTGTTGTGGGTTTGGAATCTGGGGTTTGAATACTACCATATCCTGCATAGTTAGACGTTTCAAACATCAACAATGAATGAGTGGGCCTAGTACATGTAATTAAATTCAGAACATAGTTTAGGACCTCAAAGTGTCTTTTTGGAATACGGAAAATAACAGGCAAAGAAAATATGAAGGGAAATAGAGGGGACAATGTAAGGGAAGGTAATTTTGGGTAAATTAAAGGTAAAACTAGATAAATTTATTTTGGATATTTGTTCACACATTTTATTTATTTATTTATTTCTATTTTATAAATACTTAGAAAGATATATGATTTTATTTTGTGTTTTTGAATCGTACTACCTTCATCCAAAATTGGTTAGTCAATTACTATTTCCCAGGTCTGACTCAAGTTAAGGTTAACTCTCTCCCCTAATAATATTTAAACTAGTCAAAGTTTAAAGCATATACTAGAAGGGCCAAAAGCTAAATTCGAGTATTATAAAAATCTGATACACAATGAGATAATAAAAATGAATTACTGAACATTGACCAAATGAATGGTATAATACTATAATGACAAACCTTTTAGAGATCGAAGGATATTTATTTTCCTTTGTTATGTTCCAAAGCAAAGCCAAACATTAAAAATTTAACTTTCATTGGCATTTTCTAACTTTTACCTAGCATTTTCCATGATCCAGACATATCGTTAAGTTTCAAAAATTAATCTTACCCCTGGAAAAAGCATCCCGATCAAGCGGCAAGCTTTGTCAGAAACAGAGAGCAATAGTGTCTGTGAGGGCAATTGAATGACTGCACACTAGAAACATATTGCGTATCTTTTCAGACCATGTAATCGAGGAATAACACTTTGCACAAGAGCCATTCAAAAAAATAACACATCATTATCAGCACCTTAATGCCAACTATTTGAGATTAGAGCCATAAAACTTAGTGTCAAATAAGAAAGTGAGTGTAGTGTAAAATCAAGAAACATGATTATTGTACCAACGGATGGTGCACAAATATTTCCATCATTTGCAATGGAGCCAAAGATTCATTATTTTTTGGCTTGAGAATATGATGGAATAAAGCAAAATGGCTCACTAAACTGTCTGCGCTTCTTTGTTATGAAGCAGCAGTCAGTCCATGCAATTTTGGATGCGATTTTCACTATGGGTCATCCAGTCTCTCTGTGCTTTTTTTACAGGGGTAAAACTGCGTACATCCGACCCCCCCCCCCTTACCCCACCGTAGGTGGGAGCCTTTGCGGCACTGGGGTAAATGAAAATGAAAATTATGAAATGGATGGTGCACAAATAAGAGACCCCGTCTGTAGAGCATGTATAACAGAATATTCACTGTTACCTTTGTCCCATTGGACATTGCCAACTTTGAGTTAGGTGAGAAATAAGAAAACTAAAAATCGTGTGTTTGAGGTTTGTGCAAAAGAGAGAAATGAACACCACCAACAACAACAACATTACTCCAGTCCCACCTATGATGGGTTAAAGGGGGTTAGATGTACTTAGCCTTACCCCTATACTACCTTCAATTAGATGACCCATGGTGAAAATCGCGTTGAAAATTGCATGGATTGATTGTTGCTTCATAACAAAGAAGCGCAGACAGTTTAGTAGCCATTTGGCTTTAATCTATCATATTCCCAAGCCAAAAAATAGTGACTATTTGGCTCCATTGGAAATGATGGAAATGAAAAAACTCACAAATTAGTATTAGTAACTTTAATGGGAAGTGGCAAAGTTTTGGGACAATTACAAAAGGAAAAGTGGCAAGTCCAATTGGATGGAGGGAGAACATTATACCTTATGATACGTTGCATTTTTTAATTGAACTTATACAAGCAAGCCTCAGTAAAATACTTACAAGCTTCTTTTCTTGTAATTGACCAAGAAAACCATGCTGGTTCATGGCCCGAAAAACTAAAAAATCTGCTTTACCAACATATTGCCTATCATAAAAAATAAAATTTAATGGTGAGACTAATCAAAGTATAATGTAATAACACACATTCATAAATGGTTTAAGAAAATGCAATAATTGAAATATGAAAGGGGTTACTTGTTGCTCATATGATCCTGGGAAATAAGTCGTACTATTTGCATGGTTTCAGGCCAATTTGCAGCAAGCCTGAAAAAGAGATGGGCAAAAAATTCAATTTAGACAGTCAGAAACAATGTTCATAGTGCTAGGCAACACCAAGCAGTGCTTACAAAGCTGGCTTATCCCTCTAACAACTAATCCAAATAATTAGAAGGTTCTTCTTGGTAAAGTGTAACACTCAAGAGAATTCATAATGTGTACACTTACGTTTCAGATGCTGATGCACTCCTATACCCCTGTCGAAGTAAATAGGTCATTGGATCCATACAAGTGCAACACAATCAGATGCAAACACTATGAAACAGGACATTTTAAAGATGATTAAAGCACACAGAAATTCACAGGTTAAGCAGAAAGACACCTCTAGTCTGGTGATGAACACAGGTTGTCCTTGTCGTTGTCCAGATAAGTTTCCCTAGAAGAAATTATAACAAGAACATGTGAGTTCTTCACGTAAGGGTTAATCCCAGATTCTAATAAAAGTCTGACCATAACCAAGTTTGTCCTCAACTATTTATTGAACCCAAATTGGTCTTTCACTATATAAGTTTGACTAAAGTTCATCCTCGTACATACTGTGTATGGGGTTCTAACAACAAGGATATTTTTGTCCAATCACTAAATCTTGACCCAATTTGGCCCTCAACTATGTAATTTGGATCGAATTTAGTTATCATCATATGATAAACACCCTTCTTAACTAGAGCAAAATATGGACAAGGACCAAGTTGAGTCTAAATTGCATACTGAGACCCTTGAAAACCAAACAGAGTCCACATTGAGTAATAGTATATGGTCGAGGGACCAAATCAGGCATTAACCCTTTACAAAAATACAACAGTGCGATGAAACGCGAACACTTGTCACTGAATAAATAAAGCACACTACCTCCCAGACTTTGACATATTTTGACTGAGAAGTTTGCATCTGATTAGACGATTGCATCGGATTAGATGAATGCATCTGATTAGATGCTTGCTGCGGGGGGAGAGACATAGTCACTGCTGTATTGCTACTATTCACAATTTGCTGCTGAATCCCCTGTTGCCCTTGTTGACTCATTGCCGGAGTAGAAACCAACATAGTACCAGAAGGCACAGCAGTCATACTCTGCTGACTCCTGCTTGTTGCAGTTTGCACCATTTGAGAGCCAGCCATGCTTGCTTGGTTCAAGACAGCTACTGTTTGACCCATACTCATGCTGCTTGGGAGAGTATTATTATTCATTGATTGTGACATGGTTGATGGGTTTGAAACTGATGACACGGCAGATGATGTGGAAACGAATGATGTAGGAGGAGCAGAGCTTTGTCCAGTGGGTCCTGATGACGTAACCATTTGAGCTGTAGAAATGGAGGATGCCATCCCGCTGGATATCACGTTTGAGAGCATAGGAGTTCCCCCAGCAAGAGAAGTAACCCCAGAAAGAGCCTGACGTGCCTGGGCAACGGCAACATCATTCAAAATTCTCACATTGGCAGCTGAAGCACCACCAGATGGACGTACTGGCTGTGACACTCCATGGCCGACCATTGGCTTTGTATCCTGCAGAGTTTCATTGTTTTCCTGGGGAACAGAAATAGGTGAAGAAGTTTGAAGGTTTGGAACATGTTGAGAGGTACCACGAGCAACTGATGGAACATGTGGAAATGTGGGCGCTGGCATGGAGGTTGCAGTTGTGGGCTCCTGAAAATATATGCAGTGAAATTAGAGGGGGGGGGGGTCCTGATTCCAAAGTGCGCAAACAAAATAACTGTGAAGAATTTTACAATTTTAACAGTAGCAGAGGGAATGTTTCCAGTAGAAATCGGTTGCCGGTTCGTGACAGGACCATTTGCTGTAACAAAACAAAAATTACTCTTCAATACATGAGCATTTTTTTAGTAAATTATTAACAAGAGTATTTTTTTAGTAAATGCATCAAATAAAACAAAATTATTGTCCTATCCAAATGACAACCCTGAGAGAATTTGGGAAGTTACTCATATATGGAACCCTTTTATACATCACTTCGTTAGCCCAAACAGGTGTATAGCTCAAATTCTCAACAGATTATCATGATAAAGAAATATCAAGTATAGTGAAAATAATATATTCATAAATATGGATTGAATAAATTGCAAAATCAGAGAACCTGAAGGAACTGAAGCAGGTGGTCCAGATATGGGAATAACAGAAGACACGTCCATTTTAACAGGGCTTTGATTTGAAGGCAAACTTGGCATTCCGGTGCGATTGAAAGCAGCACGAGCCTCCATAAAGTTCTCAGAAATTAGAACAAGGTAATATGGATTCTTCGGATTGTCAATGGGTAAGTCCGCTCCTCGTGGATTACTTTTTGCCTAGGTCAACCGTCAAAGTAGTGTTATGGTTGGCATATTTATCAAACTGAAATGAGAGCAAAAACTGGTGATGCAGATGATTTCTTTCCGTAGTAGATGGCCCTAAAATGCAGCATAAAATTACTGTTCAAGATTAAAGATCTTTTAAAAATGGAGTATATATCCCTTACCAACAACATCATCTAAGCCTTACTCCCAAAGAGTTTGGGTCAGCTAACATGAATCAACATATGAAATCGGAGTTAAAAAGGATAGAAGCAAATTAATCCTCCAAACATTTACAACCTCCGTCCCACTAGCATTGGGGCATGAGGAAGTGGCACGGATATTCAGAAAGGTAGGTTTATGTGGTTGATATTGAATTGATAAAGTGAGTATAAATTAAGAATGATATAGAACCACACAAATTTTACCAAATTTGGTATGTGATAATCTTAGTGGGATGGACCAAAAAAGGAAAGATGGGAAAATCTTAGCGGGACGGAGAGAGTATTTGTCAAGAGTGATCAGTTTAGAACGAGATAACAGGACAGAGCTAGGGCACAGAGAGATCAGTTTTTGGATCCATTAGGAGCACAGGAGGAGAAACAAAAAGTCAAAAAAACAAGACCATATTGAAATTAATCTTGTATGTAACTTGGTCAAGAACCCCAAGAATTAATTCTTTCAATTGTTCTTATTAATCAATACTAGTGTCCCTTTTATAGCTATCATAAGAGCCCAGACCCAAATAGGAATATAATGATAATAAGAAACTGACTAAAACTGGGATGAAAAATAACACCACTAATCTGATTAGGAAATTAATGATAAAACATAAGAACAACAATCTTGTTGCCAAAGTTTAGCCATTTTCAATCTCCTGTGCTACTTGTTCTGCTTGAACCTCACTTGCACTGGTTGTGCTTCTTTCGCCCAACTTGTGTTGCTGGTAAGCACGACGCGAGAATGTATATGTATCATCACTCCCCTCATTGATCACGAGCTTGTCCTCAAGCTTGAATGCAGGGTAAGCTGCCTGAAATACCTCAAAAGGTTCCCACGATGCTTTCTCTGCTAACTGCCCCTTCCCATGTACCAATAGCACCAACCAGCCGCAATTCAAATGGCTGTGGAGGATGATGCAGCTGGTTCCAGAACCAGAGGGCTGCCTTCGTGTGGATGTGGCTGTCCCAAAGAAGCTGATGGAAGCCCCTTGTGTGGCTTGAGTAAAGACTCATGGAAGACATTGTGGATATGACTAGCTGGCTGCAGCTGGAGCTGATACGCAGTTTCACAACTGGAGCTGATGTGCAATTTCGCAACTGGAGCTGATACGCAATTTCGCAACTGGAGCTGCAACTCGGTTTCCCCTATACGAGCTGTGACTTGGAATGACTGATAGTACTTTGGTAAAGTTTGTGATGGCGCTGAGTCAAGGAAACATAGCTATATGGGTGCACCTGAAGCCATACCCTGTTGTCGGGCTCAAAGGTCAAGTCCCGGTGAGATTTGTCATACTGTGTTTCATGCGTTGTTGAGCCTGCTCCCGTCTGGCACAAACAACAGACAAGAATGTATCACGATCAAGGAGCTCACGCTCCATGCCGTCCAAGCGTGTAGTGTCAGGTGTATAGGAAAGAAGGTGTGGGGTATCTTGGTCCTAGACCAATCGAAAGGGGGCGCTTCCTAAAGTTGAATGATAAGAGGTATTCTGGTGTAGCCAACTGACCCGCCGATTAGGATGTCACTTGTTAAACAATAGAAAAATATTCCTAGTGCGCCGTTTGAGGGTGATAATCTGACGAGAAAAGCAAGCTTTGTCCCCAACAAATGAAATATGCCGACAAAGACTTTGTCGCGCTCAGACTTTGACTAAGAAATTTGCAGCCACGGGGAGAGCGGTGTAGGGATGACCCAATGGAATGAAATGTACGACCTTGGACAGTCGATCAATCGCCACCAATATAATTGACATACCACGAACCTTAGGAAGTCCTTCCATGTAGCCCATGGAAATATCAGCCCGTACATGGCATCGGCCTTGTCCCTTCTTATTATTAATGGGATCGGATTAAAAAAATGATAATCTTTTTTCAGCCACAGATGTATCAAGCAATAATATAAAAACTGTGACAAGGCAGATGTTATTTCTAGTAATCAGAAACATATAAGCGCTAAAATTAGTATCAACTTCTTGAACAATCATTTCATATAAGTGAGAAGTCCGCTAATGGATAGATGCCAGAGTTATCAGGTTATCAGCTTACCGCAGCATAGATTGTCTTGAGTTTTAAGACCTGCTTTGGACATAAAACTGACAGGGAAACAGAACACTGCATAGAAAACAATACATCAGAAACAAAAATAAACAACAACATCCAAGCCTTGATCCCAAAAGAGTTTGGGGTTGGCTAACATGAACCGACTCATGAAATCAAAGCAAAAAAGATAAGAAAAGATAAAAAGATAAGAAAAGATAAAAAAAATATAAAGATAAGATAAAGATAAACATAAGATAAAGATAAAAAAAAGATGAAATTAAAATGAAAAAATATATAAGATAAAAAGATAGTAGAAAGAAAAACAATGACCATTAAAGAACAGAAAACTAGCACCTGAGCAAATGATTTTGCAACTGTCTCGGCATCGGATAGACGGCGGTCATCAGTCTGAGTTTCATTTTCAATCGGCTCGCAATTCTGTATTGGTGGTCTATAAACTGGTGTAGGCAATGGATAAGGATTACTTGCAGCAACAAGAATGCAATGCTTTTGCCCTTCCACAGTCTGCTTACTTTGGCTTCCACTCGGAGATGAAAGCATCTGGATGAAACATCTTATTAGATATGTAAAATATAATATAACCGAAACAGGGGCTAAGCATGAAAATACTCATTTGAAGTCGATATATAGCAATTTCATGTCCTGGTCATGTAATACACAGCACATAGACTATATACTTTAGAACGTTCTATCTGATTTGTAAAAGAAGACTTCTGAAGATCATTAAAGATATAATAACACATGGATTAATGGAAAAATTGAACTTTCAGTCTTACAAACTTAAAGATGACAAAAGATATGAATGCATCACTGTTAGGGATTGGGCCTAATGGACTGTTAGGAATTGGGCCTAATAAACCAAGAATAATAATAAGTGTAATAGTTAGTATAAATAGACTAAACTGGGGAGAAGTCGGGTATGCTTTTAGACGATTTGTCTTGGGACTTGGGAAGACTGAGACTAATAATCTCTTTCTTTGGGAGCTTTGGCTTTTGGGGGCTTCGGCCATCGTTTCTTGTTACGTTCTTGATTCAATAAAGCTTTGAATTGTTCTTGATAAATTTCTGTGATTTCTGTTGTATTTTTGGAGGATCCTATCATTGGTATCAGAGCCTTCGATGTTGTGAATGGTGGGAACAAGGAAGACGATGGAGGGACGAATAACTGAAGTAGAAACGAAGTATGAAAACCTGATCACGATGATGACGACGATGCAGGCTGGCATCGCGGACCTCCAAAACAGACATTCCGATCGATCCAGGAGTCGGTCGAGTCGGTTGCATCATTCAACGACATCGCATCACCACAGACATGTGAAGAACAACGATAGTTCAGATGGATCAGACCACTCCGCTTCGCATAGCCATCGCGACTCACGCAGAAATCAGGGGCGCCATCAACAGGTAGGTCGAAAAACTGACCTACCTATTTTCAACGGCAATGATGTGTTTGGATGGTTAGTACGGATGGACCGGTACTTCCGATTGAACAGGACAGACGAAGAAGATAAGATTGACGTTGCAGTCGTGGCCATGGAGGACCAGGCCTTGAGCTGGTTCCAATGGTGGGAAAGACAAGCTCAACATCAAACTTGGAATGCTTTTACTACTGCTCTGTCCAAACGATTTCAACCAGAATTGGTGCAAGATCCTTTGGGACCACTACTCAGTTTGAAGCAGAAAGGAACGGTGAAAGAATACAGGGATAAATTTGAGACTGCCATTGCGTCCCAAGGCCACTTAACTGAAGAAGTCTTGAGAGGAATCTTTCTTAAGGGATTGAAAAGAGATATAAGAGCCGAATTGAAGTTACATCGTACTAGAACGTTGGCAGAAATTATGGATACTGCTTCCGCGATTGAGAACAAGAATTTTGAAACTTTTTTTGTGAAGAATAAGGAGGAAGGAAAGAGGAAAATGCAAAATAGAAATCAGAAATGGGGAGATGGTTATAGAGGGAGTTCTAGCTACACAACCAAGAATCCATCTGGCAACTATTCAGTTGATGATATGGAGGAATCTTCAAACTCAGTTCAACAGATTACAAACCCCAGATTATCACAGAATGAGCTGCAAGAAAGAAGTAGGAGAGGATTATGTTTTAAATGTGGTGAAAACTGGAACCGGGGTCACATTTGTAGAATGAAGAATTTTAAAATGATGCTAGTAGAACAATCCGAAGGGGAGGAGGAATCTGATACTGACTGTAATAAAAGTAAGGAAGAAGAAGGAATACATATGGAAGTTAAGACTATGCAATTATCTGTATTGAACAAAGAAGGAACACCACCCATGAGAACATTCAAGGTTCTGGGAAATCTGAAATGGCTGACTGAGGAAAAGAAAGTGAATATTTTAATTGATAGTGGTGCTACCCACAACTTTATTTCCCAGCAACTGGTAGAAAGATGGAAGATACCTTTCCAAAGTATCAAGGCATATATGGTACAAATAGGAAATGGAGAATTGATCCCTAACTGCGGTAAATGTGAAGGAATGAAGCTGAATGTACAGGGAAATGAAATTCAACAGAATTTTTATATGTTGGAGCTTGGTGGGACTGACATGGTGCTAGGTTTGGAATGGTTGACTGATCTAGGTGATATGGAAGTTAATTTCCAAAACCAGATCATAAAATGGAAGAAACAAGGGCTGAATCATGTTATTCAAGGTGATGGGTATTGGTTGTACTGTGAAGGAAAAAGCACAAAGCAGAAGCAAGAACAGATAATTGAAGGCAGAAGGAATGAGTTTATAAAGGAGTACCCTGAAGTTTTCAAGTCAATTCTGGACAGAATGTCATGGCAGTTGTGTAATTCTGCTGTGAAATACATAGGAAAAAAGATGGAATCAGCCAAGCTAAGGGTCCAGAAATCATGCCAGTATTGGAAAGGAAGAAGTGCTAGGATGAAAGAAAAGATAAAGATTGTGGCTGTGTCCTATTACCCACCTTGAGGGCAAGGTGGATGTTTAGGGGGGGGAGTATTGTTAGGGATTGGGCCCCTAATGGACTGTTAGGAATTGGGCCTAATAAACCAAGAATAATAATGTGTAATAGTTAGTATAAATAGACTAAACTGGGGAGAAGTCGGGTATGCTTTTAGACGATTTGTCTTGGGACTTGGGAAGACTGAGACTAATAATCTCTTTCTTTGGGAGCTTCGGCTTTTGGGGGCTTCGGCCATCGTTTCTTGTTACGTTCTTGATTCAATAAAGCTTTGAATTGTTCTTGATAAATTTCTGTGATTTCTGTTGTATTTTTGGAGGATCCTATCAATCACATAAGGAATAAAATGGTATAGAGATTAGAGAACCCCCTAATCATCATTAGCACCTTCATCCCAACTACATTAACACTGAAAATCATGAAAGAAAAGAAGCGGCAAAATAATCATAAGTATTTTTCATTAGAATGAAAATATCTTGAGTCAACCATGAGTTGAGATAACTAATACTCTAATAGAGTCATGCCCCATTTTGAAAGTGATCTTGTAAAATCAAACATGATTCTATTGCCTATAGAGACCACTGCTTAACCATTTAAATAACTCCATTGGTAATTTGGTATTTGCATGATCCTCGTGAAATTAGAAGAATATGAATAAACCATGTACAAGATTGGGCATGAAATGTATCTCATTAAAGGACTAACCCTTTACAATGCTTCAAAAACTTAAAAGAAACCCTACTCTATTAGAAACATACAATAAAGGTAATTGTAGAGTTCTGTGGAAGTATATATGAAAACTAGAATCATTTCCAATTTTTCTAATGTGTAGCAGTGCTCTTTAATATGAAATACAATCATCTCGAAGGTTTCAGATGAATACAAAAACCAAACTTTCAATATGGTTACAATTAGAAATGTTTGATTGAAAGAATAGGCATATTGATTTTCTGACTTGATGTTTATTTAGCATTTTTTAACTTAAATTATTACACTCAATATGAAACAAAAAGAATTTTTATTACAGATTCTTAAAGCAAAACAAGATGATGTTAATAATTCAAAAGCTGGTATGTCAATATCATGAATAAAATGGCTAATAAAAGTACACACCATTAAAGCCTCAGAAAGCCCTTCAGCGATTGCAGCATCCTTAAAACCCCCACCACCAAAGGGTATGAAGGAGAGCCACTGGAAAAAAAGATCAACATCTCTCGTCCAGCCACTTCGTTGAACCAAACAAGCTGCAAGAAAGATGATATAATTCGTAATAGTATTCCACACAAAGTCAAATTAAAATGCTAAAATGCAGAAGAAAAGTGGGACTCATTTGAACTTCAAAACTTTCATCGCCGAAACATTAATTGAAGTTTAACACTGTAATGCACAGAAAGCTAACAATAGAAAGAACATATATGATGGCATTGGGTCACATCATTGATGCAGCTTTAATAATTACTAATTGAACAGGAAAATGAAAAGAATAAACAGTAGCAGCTAGCATCACATAGGTTGGAAGAGAATCAAAGATGAAATGCACATGCGTACACTACTTCCTCTTTAAATTGAAATCTGGAAAAATTAAACTTGGGAGATTTCCCAAAATAGAACTAAATAGGGTTTGAAATTCTAAAATAGGACTACTATGTTTTTCTTCCCGAAATAGGAGTAAGATGGCAGTATTTACTGTCATCTTTTAGTCATGATTGTCAAATAGTTGCAGTACTATGCATTCAACATGGCATTATTTATTATAATTAATGGCAGTAATTTTCAATCATGGCATTGTTTTTCAATCATGACACTAACAACTCCTATTTCGGGAAGAAAAGCATAGTAGTCCTATTTTGGAATTACCAAAGTTGTTTACTCTTATTTAGGGCAATTTTTCATTAAACTTTGATTTGATAGTGAAAGGCCAAAAACATATTTTCAACTGCACATAAGCATTAGATAAACTTTCACAGTGATATTTGAAACATCTAATAATCCTTCTTTGTCTTTCTACAAACTTTATTTGGTTCCGGGAAATGTAAAAGATTAGGCAAGGCACAACAGCTACCTTCTAGGATGAGTAAATAATTTATGTTGTTTTTCATTACTTTGTTCTCTTTGAGGAGATGGTAAGATGGATTCATGAACTTCATGAACTAATGACCCTTATTTATTGAATCCCTATCATTCTCTAGAACAACAAAAGATATGACATAACACAATGCAATAACATGAAAAATAAGTCTACTTTTTTCAAGTGATTAATAATGAATTAGGGATGATATACGCACCACTATAAGAGCCATGTGAATTAAACATTACCAAACCAAACTCCACATTAGCCCCGTATGGCTTCTGAAAATGTTGCCAAGCAGAGAACAAAAGTTAGAACTCTCACAAAATGGGATTTGAACCCTTTACAAATGTCCCAATGGGGGTATTTCTACTAGTAATAAATGAGCGGTGCATTAAATGCATGTACACGTGTTGGCTATTCCATGGGCGAGAACCCTAGTGCGTGGCAGAGTGTGAAGCGTGTTATTTCTTTGACCGATTCCTGGGCAGAACCATTGATATGCATCTAGTTACTAGAGCTAAGGAGTCCAAACTAAATGAGGAAGACTATACTGTAAAGCAAGCTTCTTTTAAAAATACTTTTATTATTCTGGAAATTCATAGGGAAAATTGTCAATTTGGTCTTTGTACAATTGTACTATCACAATAACGTCAATTAAGTCCTCGTACTTTTAAAAAAATCAATCAAATCCCCACACTTTGTAAAATCGTTCAATTGAGTCCATCAGCTGCTAATGTGGCACACATATGGCAGCCCAGCCAGCCATTTACCGATAATGTGACGCACAGGCAGACCGCCACATCAGCAGGTGACCTAGTGACATGGCAAGTTCAAAGTTCCGGGATTTAATCGATTTTTTAAGTATGAGGACCTAATTAACTTTTTCGTGATAGTACAAGAACCAAATTGACAGTTTTCCCTTCAAAATATGTTACTACGGTGCATGACAAGATAAATGGAATGAAAACAACTTTGATTTATTCAAGAAAGCATAACTATAGTACTATACACTGACCAAGTAGCATCATAATCATTGCCATTACTGCCACCTCAATCCGAACTATGTCACGCTAGTGGCATAAAAACCATAGTGTCAATTCATTGTCTAAAATAGTTAACACTCTAAGTTCATGCAAAAAGCAGTACAAGTTTATATGCTTGATGTCATTCTTGTCACTGGCAGAGCTAGAGAGAGTCCACGCCAGGCCCTGGCCCACCCTAATTTCAGTAATAATAATATATAAAATGTTTCCCTGTGTAAAATTTTCCTAAAAACTTTCTATGAAAGAATTATTTTCTGGCTGTCATGCTTCTTATCACAGCCTTCTATGTTCTAAAATTACATCAAATTTCAAATCGCCATCATCATATGTTTGTTTCATATATGCATGAAATATATCACAAGAGTGATAAGTTGAGATTGTAACTATAATCATGTTTAATTACATGATTAGTATTAATTAATATTGTGAAACCAACATGCACATCAAACACATTAACAAAGGGTTTGAAATAGTTTATTACATAAGCCTCATTGCGCAATGAGGCGTGAGGCATAATATAATATATATATATATATATATATATATATATATATATATATATATATATGAGAAGACATCTTAACGTGTAAAATGAGAATTAATCTCAGCCGTCCAAACTGTCGATCTGATGCACAATAACCCCTATCTGATGCACTTTCGAATAGACCTTATTTGATGCACTATTCGAATAGTGCATCAGATAGGGGTTATTGTGCATAAGATCAACAGTTTGGACGGCTGAAATATTTTTTTTAATTTAATTCTCATATATATATAGGGAATGGATCTGGTGAGAAGCTTTGTATAGCTGAAAAGTGAGAAGTAAAGAGTACCGTCTGATTAAAAGTTGATTAAGGGCCGATTTAAAATTTGCGAAGGCACACGATTTTTATACGACGACATTCTACCCGCTAACTTATCTCTGCAACTAAAACAAAGACAGAGCACCTTCCTAATAACTTTTGTGAAGTGCAATCGCTCATGATTATCGCAATAACTCTGGCGAAGTTTAATCGCGCAATGACGAACTGCAAAACCTCCGATGAAGTGCAACAGTTCAATCGCAAAACTCTCAGAGCCTTATTGCGTATGCAATACTGCATAAGCCTCATTGTAATGTTGGGTATGGACACTCCTAGCGCCATAGGTAATGCCTTTTGTGCCATAGTTTAGGAATCAGTTAAGGCGTGTCTTGAGGTGCAATTGCAATGCGCAATTACAAACAATGGCCACAATTCAGAAGATGAAGAAAACTACCACATGTATATTCTTCTTAAGTAAACTACACACCATGACAGTGCATCACTTATATACATGTACTCTGTACCACTGAGTAGATACTAAGGTATCCAAATTTCAATCCCTCGACAATAATACATAATGAATTCTTGCATCATGAAATATAAAAACTTGCTTTAGTTTCCTCATTCATTATTTATTAGATTAAATGTTACATCCAAGCAATCATTATGGATGCCAACATACCAAGGTCATGGTCATCTATAACCATAACAATTTTATTCAGAACAAGGATGAAGAATAAATACTTGACTGTAATGTTATGTAGGGAATTTGCTAACCTGTGTTACTGTCTCAGCTCCACAAAAACACCTGCATTTTAGTTGGAAATTAATACTTCAAAGCACTGCTCGAAACCACCATTATAAGAAACTAGTGAGGGGAAACAGTTTTATTTTTCCACTTCTTTCTTTATTGTTTATCCCTCTGGTCCAGAGACAATGACTGTTGACCATCATATAGAAAGGGAGAAAAAAAATGAAACTACCTTGCTAGTAAAATGCTCAGATAAAAAAATGTACACATATATTTAGTTCTATTAACATAGTATACAAATTTCCATCATTTGCAATGGAGCCAGAGAATCAAAGATTCATTATTTTTTGGCTTGAGAATATGATGGAATACAACAAAATGGCTCACTAAACAGCAGCCAGTTCATGCAATTTTGGACGCGGTTTTCACTATGGGTCATCCGGAAACAGTCTCTCTGTGCTTTAGTACAAGGGTAAGACTGCGTACATCCGACCCCCCTCCTACCCCACCGTAGGTGGGAGCCTTTGCGGCACTGGGGTAAATGAAAATGAAAATGAACATAGTATACAAAAAAAGCTGGAAAAGAGGATACCATGAATGAAATACGTAGAGGCTAAATAAGAGATCCTAAACTGGAAAATAACTCTTATATACGAAGTATCTGATAATAAAGTTTCTGAATCTGAATGGGGTATGTGTCATAACATCAAGAATGATTAGATATTAATCAAATCTGAACTTCTCAAACCAATGTAATGGCATGACTGAATGAGAAAGCAACACTTCATCAACATTAGCATACTGTGGTGTTCCTACTCCCACCTACAGAATTCTATCAAATATTCTTAATTGGCTTATCTTTTTTTGGATTAAAGTAAAATATTGAGAACAAAAATTCAAAAACTATATAAAAGTGCATAGGCGCATACCCTAGAATCAAAGATCACAGTGATGAGTGATGACAAGTTTGCGTCCAAGCGCACACAAAATCTAAGCTACTTGTCTGTACAAACTCCAACTAGGCACGTAGCGCAAAAACATACTCAGGCCATCAAAAGTATTATTTTTGTAAATCAACATTTTGTTTTGAACAGTGTGGGTCTTCTTTTCAAAAATTATGGAATTTTTAAATTTACAAATTTGGTAGATAGGGCATATTTCCATCATTTGCAATGGAGTCAAAGATTCATTATTTTTTGGCTTGAGAATATGATGGAATAAAGCAAAATGGCTCACTAAACTGTCTGCGCTTCTTTGTTATGAAGAAGCAGTCAGTCCATGCAATTTTGGACGCGATTTTCACTATGGGTCATCCGGAAACAATCTCTCTTCGCTTTAGTACAGGGGTAAGACTGCGTACATCCGACCCCCTTACCACACCGTAGGTGGGAGCCTTTGCGGCACTGGGGTAAATGAAAATGAAATGGTAGATAGGGCATCCAGAACCAAGCTGCATTAGATTCTTTTAATAAATTGGACAGGAAGTCCCAGTTAAAATGAAACAAAATTATCACAAACAACTTGAATAGCCCAACATATCAATTAACACACTCATCAAATGATATTACATAATCATGTTGTAAGAGCTCACAGAAGAGTAAAGGCGAACCTAATGATTTTTTCGAGGTAATCTGTGACAATGGAATTCCAGTAGGGGCCCATGGCGGCGGTGCCTTCAACTGCAATTATTAATTGTTTCTCAGCCATAGGCATTTGATCGCATAATCCTCTTCCCTTCAAGCCCCCTACAGGTCTACAGAATAGAACATCAATAACGGTTCATATTGAATGTAAGAAGCAAAAGAGAAATACTTCTCAAAACTCTTCAAGACCCGCTGCAGCGATAAAACGGAACGCGGCCTGTGGAAAAATGGGGGAGGGGGCGTCGCAACTATACCGGACACCCGGTTGTAAATTTACGGCCGGCTATAATGTTCTTGCTTGCTGATTGAATCCTTACTATATGCTACTTCTTTCTTCTTTCTTCTTCTTTTCTTTGCTGATAGAATCTGCAGATGTTCTTTCTACTTCTTTTGTTTCCCTTCCTGGCTGATCGAATAATTATTCCTCTTATGTTGTTGTTTTAGGAGGGGCCCAACACGAGTTCGTATACAGTGGAATCACCCGGGTCAGCACCCTTTTAAGGTTATGCTATTGCTTAACTTTTGAAGAAGTGATTTTGTAAAGTGATTTTTGAAAAAGTGATTAATGATAAAAGTTGGGAGTGTTTTAGAATAGAAGTGATTGAAGTGAAAAAGTTAAAGATGGAGTGTTTGGTATAAAAGTGATTGTGAAATTATATTTTTGTGAATGTACAAAAATATCCTTCCCACCAATCAGCTCACTTTCCTCTGAATCGTAAATACTCACTCCCTTTAGCCTAATCCTCCCCTGCGGCCCGCCATTCACCGCACAATCATCGACCTCTTCATACCTCCACTCGCCCATATTATCTCTGTCTCCGTCCCCTGCGCACCGTGATGAAGGGCCTCAAAAAATTACTCCATAATTCACAAGCTAGAGTCTTCAGGGAAAAAATTATTTAATACTCCATAGATAGTACTTCGTATGTTTGCCTGTTGGAGCTGTCTTGTGGAATTGGAGAAGAAGTGAAGAACGATACACTCAACGCGCTCTTCGAGGGAGGAGGCTACGAGTCCTGCGACACAGAGATTCAAGGATGCCGAGAAGGGTAAAGATGGTATCATGTGGGGAAGGGAATGGTGTAACTATCCTCAAACTTGTATTTATTTACCATTAAACTAAAAAAGCAGATAAAAGCATGGTAGAAGGTGCTTCCAGCTTTTACCCTATAAGCACTTTTTCTGAAGCTGAATCTTCTTCTTGCAAACACTCAAAACAGCTTTTTTTTAAAAAAAAAAAGCCAAAAGTGCTTTTGAAAAGCAAAGGAAAACACTGCCTAAGTAGTTTTGCATAATTTTTTAAAAAAAATTCGCGGTGAACAGTAACGCGTAAACAGTACACGCGTATACTGTAACTTTTTTTTGTCCCAGTAGTATGAATGATGTAACTTGCATGTAAAGATATGTAACTCACGTTGTTGGTCAATGTAACTCAAGTCCTTCGAAATGTAACTTATCAAATTCATACTATAAGAAATAAAACATTGATTTCAATGTAAACAATGAAAAAAAGAGTCTAATTACACAATTACTCTACGTAAATCGTGAATATGTTTTGTTTTTAATATCATGACCATCACTCGGATTTTAAAAATAATAATTTTTTGTTTGTTTCAATAGCAGAGGGTTACTTTTTGATGTAACTCATGTTATTAGAAATGTAACTCACGTTGATGACAAATGTAACTTGCGCTTCAGAAGATGTAACTCGCTTATAAAATAATGTAACTCAGGCATAAAATTATGTAACTCGCGGATGAGAAGGTGTAACTCAAATATAACTTCAGGAATCATGTATATATGTAACTGTTAGGTCCCTCAGACTTTGATGTAACCTACTATTATAAGAAATAGTTTTGATGATGCCATCCTTCTCTTGTGTTTAGATTCTATTGTGAAAATTGTATACTCGTTTTGCAAACAGTAGTATGCTCTCAAATTGCTTAGATAAGAATACTTTGACAAATATTAACATTGTACAAATTTTATGACAAATAAATATACTGGAAATTTTAAAATGCAATAAGGAAAAATTCTACCTTGCAAGGATATTCAAATCCATCCAGTATGCTTTTATTTGTTATAAAATTATTCTTGTCACTAGTACAATTGTGACCAATCTTACCAGTACACTTTCGGAAACACAAAAACTTGACTGGAAATATAAAATGCAATAAGGTAATTTTAATTACCTTAAAAAGGATTCTTTTCCTACCAGTTAAATTTATGTGTTAAAGAAAGACCAAGGTCACAATATTTACCTAAGGCCAGAGCATCTACAAAAGCATGGGACACTACAACACGCAGAGTTGCCTGAGAAGACAAAAACCCACTAGATGGTGAATAGTGCGTAAAAGGCCTAAGGAATGGGTTTACATTTCCTGCGAAGCAAGTTGATCCAATTGCGTCTGAAGATAAGCTGCTCCAACACAAGAAGACAAAAGTACAAAAAAGCCTCAACGACAAGGATAAAATCCTCTCAACCAACGGAGGAGATTAATCAACCAGAGATGCCTATAAATTCAGGCATAAGCATGAGAAGAAAAATAAGCTCTCGAGTTCACTAAGCAGAGAAATCATACTACACATTCAAAGAAGATATCTAGCAAAAGAGAAAGTGTTCATTAAAATCTTTTCTCTGCTTAGACTCATGCTTCACTAAACTCTCTAGACAGCAACCCTCATTGATATACTCAGAAAGTTTAGTTTTTAGTTGGAGGCTAGAAATTTGTTTCATATTGAAACTGTTGTAAACACTTATAAGGATAGCGTCATCTAAGTCCTTAAGTGTGGTAGAATAGGATAGAGTACCTTTTGATCCCCACTGGATCAATTGAGAAAAACCTAAAGGATTGAGTAGCTTGGAGTGGTGTGTACTCCTAGTGAAACACCTTTAAGTCTGAGCAAGTTGGTGATAACAGCGAGACGGTCACTAATTGTATTGGGTTGAATACTTTAGTGGAAATCCATCTGAAAGAGGATGGGACTGGATGTAGGAGGATTACACCACCTCTGAACCAGGATACATCTTGTGTCGATCTATTTTCTGTCACAGCATCATCAGAAGACCTCACTAAAGGGTCTCTGATCCAAGATCATCAGAAGACCTCACTAAAGGGCCTCTGATCCAAGATCATCAGAAGACCTCACTAAAGGGTCTCTGATCCAAGATCATCAGAAGATCTCACTAAATGGTCTCTGATCCAAGCTCATCAGAAGACCTCACTGAAGGGTCTCTGATCCAAGATCATCAGAAGACCTCACTGAAGGATCTCTGATCCAAGATCATCAGAGGACTCCACTGAAGGGTCTCTGAAGAAGGTCATCAGACGATCATACCATAAACGTAGATCTTCAAATCAGAGCTTCCATGCTACCAGACATTTCTGTCACTAAAGATAAGTTGTCCAAAATCCAAATACTTCTTCCCTCTTATCTTCTCAAAAGAAAGTTACCATTCTCAGTTTAATAGAGGTTATGACTTCCGCTGCGATCCTTAATCTCTCAAAAGATTTCTGATCATCATACCTATGAGGGAAATTCTTTAAAAAGTTCAAAAAGCTTTAAAAGTCTATTCACCCCCCCTCTAGACTTTCACCTCTATCAGGGACCATCAGTAACTCACATATATGAAAATGTAAATCACATACATGAAAATTTAATCACATGTTTTATCAATTTTCCATTACTGCATAAAGATTTACAAATAGAAGTCTTTCTCTTTAAATGCTCCGTATATGTATGAATTATTATTTTTTTAAACCCGGAAGGCAAACCACCAAAATCGGTGGGGCAAATGCCAGGGAACATTTGCCAGATTTTATTAAAGAAAAACGAGACGGTACAGAATGAAGAGGGGGGTCAAACCAAAACCTCTTCTAGAGGGCATTCCCTCCAAAAAATACACGCAATATAGCAAAGAAAGAGTAAACTGTTGAGGGGGCTAGACCTGACCCAACAGAGAAAAATACACAAATAGAAGTAAAAATTAGTAAAAACATCTAAACTCGGGAAGTCCAAAAAGATCTCGGAAATATGCTTGACGGGCCAGATGAGGGAGGTCAATGACCCTATTATAAAATTGAAACTGGGCCATAGGATGTGCTGCCAGATAATGGGCTGAAAAATTGCTCTCACGCCAACAATGTCTGAGTGAGACCCCTTTCCTAATTTCGAACTCCTTCATTTCCTGGAACAAATTATGCCATCTTCCTCCTCCATCCTGAGAGTAGTAGGTAACTGCTTTCGCGGCATCCGACTCGACCTGGAAATCAACGAACCCAGCCTCCACTGCCCATCGAGTCGCGAAAATAATAGCAAGAACTTCAGCTTCCAAGCTTGTAGATGCCATCAGCGGGAACGAAATAGCAACCACCAGATCACCTCCTTGATTCCTCATTATTGCACCACCGCGTACATGACCAGGTAGGAAACTAGCATCTGTGTTCAATTTGAGATTGCTTAATGGTTTATCCCAGCGAATAGCCCTAATCAAGGGACCTGAGAGTTTGAAATTCCTGGGAATAAGTTGTTCCTCAAACAAAACATCACCAATGGAGTTAATTTTCATTCTTGAAAGACTAGAAGACCAGGCCTGAGTATATAGCTTTATTTGATGGATTATTTGAGAAGTAGTTGGAGTAGATATCATAGAACCCCAAATGATACTCGAATAGTTTTTCCAAACAATCCAACAAATAATACCTGGGAGATTATGCCTAAATAGGTCAACCAAAGTCTTAGACCCTGACTTAAGCCACCAAGTCATCCAAATTTGCCTGATAGTGTTATTAGATCCCACCTTAGGAATACCTAATACTGCCATAAAATGCTGCCATATAGGATTCACCACTACACAATGATAAAAAGATGATCCATAGAATCTGACTGCCTTTTGCAAAGTGGGCACATAGATGGGTTAAGCACTTGTTGAAATCTAGAAAGCTTGTCAGTAATTGGGAGTATACCATGAAGAATTTTCCATTGAAAAACTTTAATTTTCATGGGCTGTTTAGGGTGCCAAACATGCTTAAAAGTGAATATACTAGGTAGTTCATCTCTAACAATCTCATAAGCTGACTTGAAAGAGAAAATACCATCAGTCTCAGGTTCCCAAACCAAGTTACCGTTAGAATCTGAATCACAGTAAGAGCTGGCCAATGGGTGGATGCTACAAATTCTTCTCCAAATTGGAGAATCTGTGATTTTAGGAGTAATATTCAAACCCCTTGGGTATCTGGACTTAATAAAGTCATTCCAGAGTGACATACCATTCTTCCATTTCCACCAGAGTTTGATAGAAAAGGCCTTTTCTAAATGATAGAGTGATCTAATACCAAGACCACCTTCTTCAGTGGAAAGACAAAGTTTAGACCAAGATAGCCAGTGATGATTGGCCCTGTTATTTGAAAACCCCCAAAAGAAGTTGGCTAATTTTCTTTCCAGAATGTTAATAACCTTTCTAGGAAGTGTATCTGAAGCCA